AGATGCTTAACCGAATGAGCCACCCAGGCGCCCCTATTTCTAGTATTATTTTTAATCAAGTTATAATTGTCAGGAGTGCCAGAGTGGCTCAATCAGTTAAGTATTCAACTCTTGATTTTGGCTCAGGTCATGGCCTCGCAGCTGTGAGATGGAGCCCTGTGTAGGTCTCCAAGCCCAGTATGGAGCCTGCTTAAGATTCTCTCTCTCCTTGTTCTCTGCCCCTTCAACTTCTGTGCCCTCACGTGCACACTCTCTCTTTCAAAAAAAAAGAAAGTATAATTGTCATATAATAGTTTCATTCAGGTGTACACGTAATGAATCAATATTTGTATATATTGCAAAATGATGGCCACAGGAAATCTAATTAACATCCTCCACCACCCATATTATAAAATTTTTTTCTCGTCATGAGAACTTTCAAGATTCAATCCCTTAGCAACTTTCAAATACGCAATATAGTATTAACTATAGGCACCGTGCTGTACATTATATCTCTATGAGTTATTTATTTCATAACTGGAAGTTTGTACATTTTTACCCCTTCATTCATTCTTCTGCCACCTCCCCCAGCCCCCACCTCTGGCAACCACCAATCTGTCTCTGCATTGATGACTTTGGACTGGTTTTGTTTTTATTGTTGTTTAAAGTTCCACATATAAGTGAGATCATATGGTATTTCTTTCTCTGACTCATTTCACTTAGCATAATGCCCTCAGGGGCCATCCATGTTGTCACAAATGACAAGATTTCATTCTTTTTTTTTTACCCCTAAAGATTTAAAAATATTTTTTTAATGTTTATTTTTGAGAGAGAAACAGAGTGTGAGTGGGGGAGGGGCAGAGAGAGAGGGTGACACAGAATCTGAAGCAGGCTACAGGCTCCGAGCTGTCAGCACAAAGCCTGATGCGGGGCTCGAACTCACCAACCAGAAGATCATGACCTGAGCCAAAGTAGGACATTTAACTGACTGAGCCACCCAGGCGCCCCTTTTTTAAAGATTAAAAAATATATATATTTATTTTTGAGAGAGAGAGAGAGAGAGTGCCTAAGTGTGGGAGGGGCAGAGACCGAGGATCCAAAGAGGGCTCTGCACTGACAGCAGCTAAACCCACGAGCTGCAAGACCATGACCTGAGCCGAAGCCAGACACTCACGGAGCCGCTCAGGCACCCCAAGATTTCTTTTTTTATGGCTGGATAATATTCCGCATATGAATGTTTGTGTGTGTGTTTGCATCACATTTTCTTTATCCATTTATCTATGGATGGAAGCTTGGGTTGTTTTCATATCTCGGCTATTATAAATAATGCTGCAATAATCATGGGGGCGCATACATCTTTTTGAATTAGTGTTTTTATTTTCTTTGGGTAAATACTCAGAAGTGGAATTGTCGGATCAGATGGTAGTTCTATTTTTAATTTTTTGAGGAACCTCCACACTGTTGTCCATAGTGGCTGCATCACTTTGAATCATATGCTTTAAACTGGTGAAATGTATGGTATGTGAAATAGATCTCAACAAAATGTTATAAAAAAAGAGATGCACACACACATAGACACACAAAGAAGGCACCGTTTCTTTTTTTTTTTTTTTTACAAATAGTTTATTGTCAAATTAGTTTCCACATAACACTCAGTGCTCATCGCCACAAGTGTCCTCCTCCATGCGCATCCCCCCTCCCCCCCACATCCATCAGTCCTCAGTTTTTTTCAGCATTTCAAGAGTCTCTCATGGTTAAGAAGGCACCGTTTCTAAAGAAGGTCTTAAGTGGATTAAGCCATGCAGAAAGTTAAAATAGGTGATGCTAGACATGAAACAGAGGCGAGTTAATAAAGAGCCCCCACAGAGTTTACAGCATTGTGATTGGCCCAGTTTTTACAGGTAGGAAAATTGAGCTGTGCAGAAATTTAAGGTCCTATAGTTAGTACAGAACGGAAGCCAGTTTCCAACCTAGGAAGTTGATAGCAAAGCTGTGGCCCTTAACTTGCACATTATTCTGTCTCCTGGAAACTTGTGATTCTGCTGGAAGATAAAGGCAAGGAGGAGAATACCCACAACTGAAAATGTCTCAATGACATGGCTCTCTTTTCCTTGGGCAACTCCTCAGTGCTCATCGGAAACACTCATCACTTGGGTGCCTGTTATCTGTTTAATAGACATTGCGGAACTCTTGGTTTCTGTAATTTCTAGAGCAAAATCAGGACAAAGCGTTCCTTTTGAAGATATTCATCACGCAGCTTCTCTCCGTCAGGGAAGTTATGAAGTGTTGTCTGTCTACCAACGTGAGTACTCAGCTGGGAGTGATCAGATGGAAAGCTTTGTGACACAGTACCTGAATGTCAGAGCAACCTCTGAAAACTCATAAAAACATCTTGTATATAAGCTCTTCTGATTTTTCATGACTACGCAGAACGACACTAATTTGTCATCATGAATTTAATACAGCAGATTTGTTTCTCACATTTCTGTGCTTTTATGTAAGTATAGGGTTTTGTTTGTCAACCTCTCATTTTTATCTTATTATCAAATGAATACAAGTACAGAAATCTTCCTTTGCATTTTGGACTATTTCTGTGCACTAGATACCATGTGTGGGATAATCCCAAGCCTAAGAGTATTAACATTTTTAAGGTTCTTGATCCTTGTTTCCAAATTACTTTGCAAAAAGATTAAACCAATTTACACTCCCACCGGCAGTGTATGAAAATATATTTAAATGCAAATTCCAAGCTGCAGAGAGTCTTTTTCTTAGGTAGTTCACTTAAAAAAATTTTTTTAATGCTAAGCAAAAGCCGACCCAAGATGTTAAAAAAAGAAAGTCTGATATAAAAATGGAGCAGATAGTTAAAACAGCTTGGGCAGAAATAAGCTTTATAAAGGCCCAAGCAGGCTGATGAAAATTTTAAGGCATCATAGCAAAACACAATTCTGAAGGGACCATTAACAATTTGGCTTAGATTAGGAATACGACCGCCAAGAATGTTGGGCGTGGTCAGTGTACCAAATTCTAGTTTAGAAAAGCCAGGGTATTTAATTTTTTTTTTTTTATACTTCACTTTGTTCTAAAGGCGATGCAAATACCTAACGGGAGGATCTTGAGAAGTAGCATTGTGTTTGAATAATCAATCCCGTGGAGATGAAATGAACCCACGCCCTCAAAACTACGGTCAGCGCTTATCTCTCCTTCACGGAATGCCTCGCCTCTGTAATCTGAGTCCAGTCTGCAACCACAATGACCGCCTCTACGTCTAATAATGGGGCACAGTGATTGGGGGGGGCGGTGGCCAGGCAAGGGGAAGCCCAGACTCGGTGTACCAAACCACCGAATTCTACACAAGTCCCAAAGGTGCCGGAATCTCAGCCTTCAGCCAGGACCCCTCACCCACCTTCGCCAGCTATTTGGGAGCCAGCCCCGTCTCCGCCTACGAAGCTTCTATTACTTCTCTGTGCCCCCTCTGACCCGCTTGCCAGAGAAAGAGAAAGGGCTGACGCCCGAGGAGCAGCCAGAAACTCGATCTCGCTCCCTCTTCTACTTCTCCTTTCTCACTTTTGTTCCTCCTTTCTTGCTGCCTCTCCCTTCTTCCCTCTCCTTTTCTTCTCTTTCTCTGTCCTTCCTCCACGCCTCCTTTCCCTGCCTCTTCCCCGGACGGATCCGCAGTTCGCCTCCGCTCCTGCAGCTCGGAGCTCCCCTCCCCACTTCTCCCCTCTCCTCTCCCCTCCCCACCGCCCCAGCCCTGCGCTCGCGGCCCCTCCCATAGCCAATCAGCGCGCGGCCTCCCGCGGCCCCGCCCCCGCCGGCCGTTCCGGGCGGGCCCGGCAGAGCCCAGGCCGCGGGTGCGGAGGGCGGCGCCGCGGGGCGGGGGCCGATGGGGCCTGGCGGACCGGCGGCGCCGGCGCGGGGCTCGCCTGGACGTGGGTGTGCGGGGCTGTGAGCGGGCGAGGCGGGCGCTGCGGCCCGCCCGGGATGGGCCGGCCCTGGCCTGGCGGGGCCGAGCAGGAGGCGAGGGCGGCGCGCGGGCCTGGCCTGCCGGGCGGGCGGCCCGGGGGCTGAGGTAGAAGTGGGCGCGGAGGAAGGGGCCGAGCCAAGGCGGTGGGTGGAGCGGCGAGGGGGGCGGAGGCTGGGCCGCGGCGGGCGAGCGGAGCGGCGCGCCTGTCCCGGGCTCGGCGGCAGCGGCGGCGGCGGCGCTTGAGCAGGCTGAGGCGGCGGCGGGCCGGACGAGCGCCCGGAGGTGGCGGACGAGGCGCCGGGGGCCCCCATGGGCGGGTGTGTGGGCGCCCAGCACGACTCCTCGGGCAGCCTCAACGAGAACTCGGAGGGCACCGGAGGTAGGTGAGCGCCAGGGGGCAGCCTCGGCCCCCCATTGTTCCCGGTCAGGCCCGGCCACCTGTCCCGGCCCCTGCGGGCCCGCGGGCCGCGCCGCCGGGGGCCCCCGAGCCCCTTTGTCATCCCCTCCTCCACGTCACTCTCCGCGCTCCGCTTCCGGCCGCCCTGCTGGCGGCGGGGTCGCCCCTTGCCCTGCCGGCCCCCGAGGAAAGTCCTTCCCCCGCCGGGGATGTAGCCCTCGGCCTCCCGACCCCACCGCCTCGGCTCGGGAAACTCGGACCAGAAACTGCCTTTCTTGGCCACCTCACCCCCTCTCCAGCCCGTTTAATTATTCAGGAACAGGATGGCGGCGCTGGGGTTGCAGAAAAGCGAATTGATGGGGGGGTTGGGGAGGGGAGTTAATGCATTCCCTCCGACGGGCCCCGCCACATCTCTCCGCACCCTTCCTCGTTCGGCAGAGTTGGCCGGGCTCAGCTTTCCCGAGTTTCAGATGACAGCTGCCCTGGTTGGTTCCAATTTGGCCATTTAAACCTGCAAGTTTCTGGAGCTTGGCTGGGGAAGTCTCAAGTGGCCACACGCATTATTTTAAGGAGGGGTGGGGGGACGGTCCGCCCGAGGAAAACGTGGCCTCTTGCTACGGCTTGCGGGTGTTGGGCCAGCCTGCTGTCGGGGTGGGCTAGTTAAATTCCTATCCGCCTTACGTAAAGGAAAATATGTAGGCTGAAAGTACAAATACAGGAGTCCGACTTAGCCCAGTGCTTTTAAAAGTTTTCTAACACGGAACGCACTTCTCGTTTATTGTAAATAGCAGTCCGCGGGGGAGAGCTTTTTAATTCCATCCGCATGGTAGTGTAACAGTCTAACAATAAGGTTAGTTCTACCTTTACTTAAACGACCTTTGGCTGAGTCCGCCCTATAGCCGGTGTAGAGGGCAGAGTGTTGTAGTTGAAGAAGAAACAGCTAGGAATAGCAAAGATGACAGTGTTGGTTTCGTTCCAACCTTCTGGTAGATGTCTCAGAATGTAAGGCATATTTGTAAGTTCCTAAACTAAATCGTTTGGGGAGAAGGTTTTACAACTTATACTAGCTTTTTAGACCAATTGCTTGCCCTGCTACTGAGCTCCGACTGTAAACTGTGTACACCTAACATGTAGCCGATACGTTTCCTGAATTACATGATAGTTGGCCATGCCACTTGATTAGAATCTGTGGGTTTCTTGTATGACTAAATCCTGGACAAATAGTTTGAGAGTTCAGTGAAGTGTGTGGTGAAAAAAATTGTCCATGAAAACACAATAGTGCACTTCAAGTCATAGCATTATTATTTGGTGGCACATTAACAGTGAGATCCCCAGTGACAACGAAGCAGAAGATAAAGAGGGCATGATTTAAAACAGCCCTGGGTTAAGTTCAAAGTGGGGGTCAAAAGGATTCTTCCTGCAGTTGAAGTATACCAGTATGAAATATACTAGTATGTGCTACAGATAGTGTGTAGTGTTTTGTTTGTTTGTTTGTTTTAAGATTTTAAATTTGGGGTGCCTGAGTGGCTCAGTTGGTTAAGCATCTGACTCCTGGTGTCAGCTAGGGTCATCATCTCACGGTTTGTGGGTTCGAGCCCTGCATCAGGCACTGCTCTGACAGCATGGAGCCTGCTTGGAATTCTCTTTCTCCCCTCTCCTCCCCTACCCTGCTTGCACTTTCTCAAAATAAATAAACTTCAAAAATAATTTTTTTAAAGTAATCCCACGTGGGGTTCAAACTCACAGCCCCGAGATCGAGAGTCACATGTTCTACTGACTGAGCCAGCCAGGCCGCCCTAGTAGTGTTTAGTTTCAGTTAAATTTAATTTTTTAATACTCATTTAAGAATTTTAATAAACATTTTTCTCTTCTTGGTAATGAATTTGAACCAATTTATTGAAAGCCTTTTGATAACGTAACATATTTATTAAGCATAAAGTCTTAGCATTTGGTAATTTACTACCAGTCGTTTCTAGTTAGATAGCCATAGCATTCATTTCTTTGAGAACTGAGATCTCTGGACCTTAAGCTGCACTATAACTTTCTAAAGTAAAATTTAGAAAAAAAGAACAGCAACCACAAAACCTCTATTTTCTTAAGAGAAAATAGGGGCCTCATGTATGGAGTGGAGGAAGGGACTGTGTGGGATAAAAGGATTGTTTTGGAATTTAATTATAGAAGACTTTATTCTTCATTATTGTCATGATAGTTAAGAGTTAATTGCGGTTTAAAGGAATTAGCTCAGGTGAGTGTTGTAGGTTAACACATTAAATAGTTTTTGCTTATTATAGTAGGTTTTTGTAGAAGGGAAAGACAATTTTTCCTAAGGGCATTGGCACAGATCCTTTGCTTTTCAAACATAAAATGATGATTTGTAGTTTTCACCTGGACATTTGGGTTATGAAAAATTCTTTTTTTTAAATTTTTTTTATTTTTTTAATGTTTTATTTATTTCTAGGAGAGAGAGAGAGAGAGACAACGTGAGTAGGGGAGGGTCAGAGAGAGAGGGAATCACAGACTGAAACAGGCTCCAGGCTCTGAGCTGGCAGTCAGCACAGAGCCTGACGCGGGGCTCGAACCCACGAACCGCGAGATCATGACCTAAGCGAAAGTCGGACGCTTAACTGACTAAGCCACCCAGGCGCCCCATGAAAAATTCTTTTATCAACATGAAGTAAAATAGTCTTCTCATGGTTTTCATGACAGTTTTACGTTCACAGTGTTTTCAAATCTTCACTGTTTTAGATTGGTTTGACTTTTTTTTTTTTTTTTTTTAAGAGCTAGTGCGTGAGTTGGGGAGAGGGGCAGAGGGAGGGAAAGAGAATCCTAAGCAGACTACATGCTGAACTCTCCATCTCACAACTGTGAAATCATAACCTGAGCCGAAATCAAGAGTCATGCTCAAAACCGACTGAGCCACCCAGGTGCCCCTCGATTGGTTCGACTCTTAAATATCAGGTAACCTTAGTAAAAAGTGACTTTTTAAAAAACCTTTTTGGCCATTTGAGATACTATACTTTCTCTTTCCCTCTGGATCTAAGTCTCTTGTACATGCAAGTAATTGGTAGAGGAGAAAATCTTCCTTACTAAGGAATTTGGGAAATTTTTGCGAAACACTGAGGAATACAGAAATTGCTTAATCCACGTTATAAGATTTGTGGTTATATGTTATTTTGGAATCATTTGTAGTATCTTCCTCTGGCATATCTTGCCCAGGATTCAGTGTTGGAGTTTGAGCTAGTTTGACCATTTTTTAAAAGCCTAATTTTCATCAAGACAAGTATATTATATACATTTTACAAGATTATTTAACAGTCCACTTCAAGCTTCCATGCTCCTAGAACGTTTTTTTAGGCAGCATATTCTGTATAGTTCTCTGCTTTACTATGATGACCTTGTGATGCTGGGGTTGGGACTCAGGACCTCTGGACAAAGCTTTGTGCAGTCCATGGCATTGGCTAAGGAATGAAATCTCATGTTTTTTAAAAACAAATATGTGGAGGGGCGCCTGGGTGGCTCAGTCGGTTAAGCGTCCGACTTTGGCTCAGGTCCTGATCTCATGGTTCATGGGTTCAGGTCCGCGTCGGGCTCTGTGCTGACAGCTCAGAGCCTGGAGCCTGTTTCGGATTCTGTGTCTCCCTCTCTCTCTGCCCCTCCCTGCTCACGCTGCCTCTCCATCTCTCAGAAATAAATAAAACATAAAAAATAAATAAATATGTGGGGAAAAACAGTAAAATGAAATTAGTTGAAGACAACCAACTAACTTTTCTTGTTTTGTTCACCTCTTGAATGAACTGAATGATGTAGAAAGTGGGTTCTCACTTCCTGGGTGTATCTTTTGTTTTGCATAGTCAGTGATATCCCAAGTGGACTAACCCTTGGTGGTCACAGGTTTCCAGGCTTACAGCAGGAGAACTGCCTGCTGGGTATTCGTGTCTTTATTTCATAATGTCTCGAGAACATCCTGGAGTTCTTTGGGGTATCCATTTATAGCAGCCTTATAGATACCTACTTGATGAGTAACCGTGGTTTTTGAGTAATAACAACTACCATTTTTCCAGTATTTATTATGTAACAGATGTTGTGCTCTGTTTGTTTTTCTCATTTAGTCTTCAGTAACTCTGGGAGGTGGATAATATCTCTATTTTATGGATGATTGAAGCTGGGAGAGATTCATTTGCTTAATATTGCATTGTTTATAAATGGCAGTCAGAACTTGAACTCAGGGCTATGATTAAAAAATGCTAGTTTCTCGTTTTTTTCTAGTTTCATTTTTAAATTTGTGATAAAATATAAACTTTGCCATTTTAATTGTTTTTAAGTGTACAGTTCAGTGCCAGTAATTACATTCACAGCGTGCAACTGTCCCCACTATGTATTTCTAAGATTTTTCATCTCTTCAAACAAACTCTAGATCCACTAAGCAGTATCTTTTCTCCTCTCTCCCAGCCCCTATTAACTTCTAAATCTTTTTGTCTCTGTGAATTTACCAAGTCTAGGTATTTCATCTAAGTAGAATCATACAGTATTTATCCTTTTGTTTGTGATGTATTTCACTTTGCATCATGTCTTCAGGCTAATCCTGTGGTAGCAAGTATCAGGACCTCATCCTTTTTATGGCTGAATAATATTCCATTGTATGTATATATCACATTTTGTTTATCTCTTCTTCTCCATCCATTCTTCTACATGGACATTTGGGCTGTGTCCACTTTTTGGCTATTGTGAATAATGTGGCTATGAACTGAACTTCGGTGTACAAAGAGCTGTTTGAGTCCCTGATTTTGGTTCTTTTGGATAGAATATATGTAGGCATGGAGTCACTAGGTTAAATGGTTTACTTTTTTGAGGAACTGCCAAACTTTACCATAGTGGCTCCATCGTTTTACATTCCTGCCAGCAACATGCAAGGGTTTTAGTTACTCCGTATCTTCACCAGCACTTGTCATTTCCCATTTTTTAAACTACTAGCCCTTGTAGTGGGTATGAAGTGATATCTCACTGTGGTTTTGGTTTACATTTCCCTGATGACTAGTGATGTTGAGCATCTTTTAATTAAAGTGCTTCTTGGACATTTGTTTATCTTCTTTGGAGAAATGTCTATTTTAAGACTTTTGCCTATTTTTTAATTGGGTTGTTTTGGTTTTTGTTGTTGTTGTGGGAGGCATTTATATATTCTGTGTATTAAACCCTTATCAGATACATGATTTGCAGATATTTTCTCTCTTCTTTTCACTTTATTTTTTTAAGATTTTATTTTTAAGTAATCTCTGTACCGAATGTGGGGCTTGGGCTTATAACCCTAAGGTCAAGAATCACATGCTCTACCAACTAAGTTAGCCAGGTGCCCTGTCTTTATACTTTCTTGGTGGTGCCCTTTGATGCATAAAAGTTTTTAATTTTAATGAAGTCAAATTTATTTTTTCTTTTGTTGCCTGGGCTTCTGGCTTTTGTTTTAAATGTATATTTAATTAATCCTTCATTGATGAAGAATAAATCTAGTATATTTAATTAATCTTTCACTGATGAAGAAAGAATAAATCTATAGCCAATAATTCACAAGTCTAACTCAACCAACATTTACTTTTTTAACTATGAATAGAAAGCTATTTTAAGTTTATTTTCTGTCTTATGTGGTGAAAAGGTTGATTAGCAGTCAAATGGTTTTTAAAAAGTTGACAAAAGTAATCCATAAACCTACTTCAACTTCTTAATCAAGAGATGATTGTTATATTTTCTGTGGAAGCAGTTTACAATCAAAAGGCATTGAGAACCCACAATATGCCCAACATTGGGTTGGTTGCTGCTGTTCCAAAAAAGGAATCATGATCTTATTTCTTGAGTATGTCAAAAATCCTTTTTTGGGAAAGCATAATAAAATATGCACACATGAAACAACTGTAAAACACTGTGTAAACAGATAGATATACTGTAGGATAAACTGTGCAAGTGCTGAGGGAATAAAAGGAAACAGTGATCTGAGCTGCTCAAAGGTGGTCCCGCTACCAGCAATTTTGCGGTAACCTGTGAGTACGTTAGAAGTGCAAAATCGTAGACCCCCCCCCCCCCCAGACCTAATAAATCAGAATCCTCATTTTAACTAGATTCTCACATGGTTCCTATGCATATTAAAGTTTGAGAAGGCTGGTCCAGGATTGCTTACAATGGGAAGGGATTAGAGCAAGGAACCCATTAGGAAAAAAATGGCTTCTGCACCACTCTACATGATGTCCCAAGTTAAAAATTCTTGCTTGCATCAACTAAACCTTGGCATACTGAAAGGCAAACTATCTGGGGCAAGCTATAGTTCGAGTTGATAATCTATTGGGTATAGGGATATACAAAAGAAAGTAAAATACAGTCCCTCACAGTGACTCAACTTAGGATTTTTCAGTTTTCCAATTTTATGATGGTACAAAGTGATACTCACACATTCAGTAGAAACCATACTTCGGAGTTTGAATTTAGATTTTTTTCCATGGCTGATGGTAGGTGGTATGACATTCTCTCGTGTTGCTGGGCAGAGGCAGCAGGCTACAGTTCCCAGTCAGCCAGCCGGTCAGTATCATGAGGGTAAGCAACGGATACTCCTACCATTCTGTTTTTCACATTCAGTATGGTATTTGATGAATTACGTGGTATTTGACACTTTATTATGAAATAGGCTTTGTGTTAGATGATTTTGCCCAACTGTAGGCAATATAAGAATTCTGAGCACATGGAAGGTAGGCTAGGCTGAACTATGATGTTCTGTAGGTTAGTTGTATTAAATGCATTTTCAGTTTATGATGTTTTCATTTATGATGGGTTTATTGGGATGTAACCCTACCATAAGTTAGGGAAAATCTGTAATCCCATGTTTGTGAATCTGGATGGCCAAGAATATTGAGGTGGCTTGGCAGGTTTTGGGGAATAAGAAAGAGCTATCTGGGGCAAGCTATAGTTTGCCTTTCAGTATGCCAAGGTTTAGTTGATGCAAGAATTTTTAACTTGGGACATCATGTAAGGTGGTGCAGAAGTCTAGATATGGAACTCCTAGATGTTCAGGATTAAGAATGTGGATTTTGGAGTCTCTGGGGGGAGGTTGACTGAAAGTATAAAAGTAAATGACTGCTGTAAGTAAGTGAAAAGAAGAGAAAAGTACTAAGAACTGAGTCACAAAAATTTCACAGATAGACCTGACCTTATAATTTCAGAAAATAATTTGTTTTGTTAACTTCTCATTCTAGTGTGGTGTTTGCAGAAATTCTACCTGTAGTGTGTTACTCACATCTATACTTCAAGTAAACTTTTTGTGCATCCAGCCCCAGAATATACCAGTAGCCCTTTGGAGGTTGGTATACTTCAGAACAAACACGTTTCTCTACAAAACACGGTTTTCTTTCTTCACCAGTAATATCATTCATATTTCTATCTTGTGTGTTTTCAATGTCCCATATATTACACATCATCTAACTAGTTTGTTTATTGAATTTTCTTATACTTCTACTCTTAGGATTGGGTCTATAATTAAAAATGAAGTAGAATTGAGCATGAGGAAGGCTGAAGATTAGTCTGCCCTTCTCCCTAGTGTGATAGTTAAAAGTAAAAATTTTTCATATTCTCTGGGCTGGTAGCTCTGAGGCTTTATAAGCAGGATGCTTAAAATTTTATACCAATTGGAGAGAGACATACTACAAAATAGGAGACATTTCCTTGGTGTAAAGCAGAGGGTGCTTGATTTTACCAGAATGAGTATAGTGGTGGGGAGAGACCAGAAGGAAAATAGGCAGCAAGGTGTGTGTCAGAAATCCAGTGGAACTCTGGGTAGAAATATTTGGTAGGTATGAGAACTAAATTTAGGTCAGGGATGCTACAGTTGGAAAATACTGAGATGTGGGGAAAGCTGAATCCTCTTTGGGAAGAGATTTAAGCACTCAAGTTTATATTTAAAATAGACATTCGATGTTGTAGCCCCTACCTAATAAGCTACCCTGGCTAGTCCAATTTTGTGCTCAATTTTCTAGCAAATAAAAGGTTGACATTTTTTCCCAGTCAAGATTATCTTGGAATTTATGTTGGAATGGCATTTTTAAAGATTTTTGCTATGGATATTAAATGGCCTGGGTTGGGGTTTTTTTTTTTTCCCCATCTCTGATTTTATTTAGGAATCAGTTGCTAGTACTATATACTGTGGGTAGAATCTTTATGCCATTAGAAATGATAAGCATCTTCATTCTGATTTTTGATAACCCTTGTCTGTAACACCTCTCTTTCTTATGGGGAAATTTTAATAGATGGATTTTACTTTCTTTGTTTTTTTTTTAATTTTATTTTTAAGTAATCTCTACACCCAACATGGGGCTTGAACTCACAACCCTGAGATCAGGAGTTGCATGCTCTTCCGGCTGAGCCAACCAGGAGCCCCTAAGTTTTTGTTTAAATATTCTTATTTTTAGTTTATTATTTATTTTGAGAGAGAGAGAGAGCAGGAGCAAGTGCCATTCGGGGGAGGGATGGGGGGACGGAGAGAGAGAGAGAGAGAGAATGAATCTCAAGCAGTCAACGTGCTCTCAGCCCACAGCCCTGGGATCATGACCTGAGCCAAAATCAAGAGTTGGACGCTCAGTTCACTGAGCCATTCAGGCGCCCCTTTTTTTAAAATCTGCTTTTCTTACTGCAAATGCAGAGCTTTGGCAGCACCTTGCTAGTGGTACTATACTCAGGTGAGTCTTCTAATAGGAATGACTGTTGAGTGTTATTCACTTACAGTAAGGAACTTTGCCATGCTATTTATGAATTAGTTCTCTCTCCTGCGGCTTTTGACCAAGTCACATTCTTCTTGTTGCAAGAAAGCATTAGGCTGATTTCGGTAAACAACATGATCATATTAATGGGCATGATGATTGATTTGCTGATTTAGTGATTTCTCATTTTTCCTTACTGCAGACCACCTGAATGGTTTATCTTCATTTGGTGGACCACTGCATCTGATTCTTCCCGCCGCCCCTCACCATCCCTGCCCAGCTTTCTGCTACTGCTTATCGGGCATACTAGGCTACCAGCAAGCTCCTCATGATTCACTGGTAGTTCAAGGACCATAGGTTGAGACTTTACTAACGCGTATGTACTTAAAGATGCATGTGTGTTGGCCAAGAACAATCAGCATGTATTCGCCTTGCATCAGCCACTCTGACTTGCAGTCAGCAACAATCAAGTTTGTTTTTGAATATATTCCATATATTGAGCTGAGAGATTAAATATTGCTGAGTGTACATTGAGTGTTATGCCATTTTTTGCGTGTTTGCAATAGAACATTTCGGCATTTCCATTACTGCTCTGTTTTCAGAAATGGAATTTCTATTGAAGTTAGATGTCTAAAGAAAAAACTCCTAATGTGTGAAAGTCATTTTAAGTGAATTTTACTTGAGTGCAAGTGGGGTTTTGATATACGTTGATTCAACACTTGACTAAATAATGAATTAGTGACTTTTGGACTTTTCTCATGAAGTCCTCCAAGAAAACCATTCAGGTAATTTTTTGCATTTATTATAATTGGCTCATAGGTTAGAGCTAAGGGCAGGCCTCTTTGTTCATTTCCATGCTTGTGGACTGTGCTTTGATACTAAAAGTATCAAAGGGGCAGAATAACATATAGTCCAGATCACTTAGTTATGCTTCATGATAAAGTATCACTTTCAACTCAGGGCAAACACCTTATTTTTTAAACTGAAAGTTTTAAAAATAGCCTCCATTATTTCTAACTGCCAGTACTTGTAGCTAACCATATAAATATGGCCTGCTCCGTGATACCAAATAGCTTGTGGTCAAGTGGAGAAATCATACATTTAATTAAGAAAAGTTTTAAAAGCCTCTACATCACGGCACCTGGGTGGCTCAGTCAGGTAAGCGTCTGACTTTGGCTCAGGTCATGATCTCACAGCTTGGGAGTTCGAGCCTCGGATCGGGCTCTGTGCTGACAGCTCAGAGCCTGGAGCCTGCTTCAGATTCTGTGTCTCCCTCTTCCTCTGCCCCTCCGTCTCTCTCACCTTCAAAAATAAACATTTAAAAAAAAATTTTTTTTTTTAAAGTCTCTACAGCAATGAAAAAAGTATTATGGAAGTTCAGAGAATAGTGGGGAGCACAGTCAGAACCCTTCACTAAAGAGGTGATATAAGTAGTTGGTCTTGAAAGAGGAGTAGATGGAGACAAAGTAGAGGGGCAGAGGAAATCACTCGTATAGCAATATGAAAAAACATGGCATTTTGGAGGACTGGTAAGAAGCTTGTGGAGGGGTAGGTGAAATGTGAAGTTGTTAAGGTATGTTGTCAGATTTTTGGAAGGCACAATTGCCATAATTAATAGGCCAGTTGCAAGACAGCGTATAGGTGATGATATTTAAGTGGATTTTTTTGCGTGCATCCAACTAGCTAATTCCCATTTAATGCTGCATTCTGAGGTTTATTTCATACAGAATTCTGACGTAGGGGCACCTGGGTGGCTCAGTCGGCTAAGCATCCGGCTTCGGCACAGGTCATGATCTCACGGTTCGTGGGTTCGAGCCCTGCGTCAGGCTCTATGCTGACGGCTAGCTCAGAGCCTGGAACCTGTTTCAGATTCTGTGTCTCCCTCTCTCTCTGACCCTTCCCTGCTCATGTTGTCTCTCTCTCTCTCTCAGAAATAAAAAAACATTAAAAAAAAAATCACACAAAATTCTGATGTAGTAAGGTGTTAACCATCTTTAGCAGATTTTTATTCCTTTGTAATTTTAATCATATTGTCACATATTAAGCATCAGGAATGTGTTTCGCTTTTTTACATGCACATGGGGCGCCGGGCTCGCTCATTCAGAAGAGCATGTGGCTCTTGATCTTGGGGTTGTGGGTTCCAGCCCCACACTGGGTGTAGAGATTACTAATAAATAAATATATAAACTTTAAACACTTTTTTTATATGTGTATGTATGTATATGTTTGTCCCAGACCAGTTTTTGTCTCTGGTCCTAGATTTCTGGCACATAGAAAGAGTTTGTGCTAAGATTCTGCAGACCTGTCTGAGATTTAATCTCTTGAGAAAAGTCCTGCACTGTCTATGGTACTTTGGGCTCCGTTTCTTCCATTGTTGAAGAAGAGAATGGATTAGATCATCTTTATCAAGATTATATCTAATTCTTTTTAAAAATACTTTTATAAAAAAATAAAAAAAAAATAAAAAAATATAAATAAAAAGTCAAAAAAAAATAAAAAAAATAAAAATACTTTTAGTATTTATTTACAATAAACATTTGAATATCTGTCACTTAGATTCAACTCTGTGTGTGTGTGTGTGTGTGTGTATTTGCTTAACTGAGAGTACAGACATCATGACACTTCAACATGCAAATACCATTATCACTCCTAAGAAGATTATTCCCTAAGATCAAGTCCATAATCAGAATCCACCAATTGTCCCAGAAGTGCCTTTTTGGCTATTTTTTTCAAATTAGGATCTATTCAGCATTAGACATTGCCATTTGTTTTTGTCTTTAATTTTTTAAAATCTAGAATAGCTCCTCCCCTTTTATTTCCTATGACATTGATTTTTTGAAGAGTATTGTAGAATGTACCACATTCTGGGTTTGTCTGGTTGTCATTTAGTATATTCCTCTAGCCTCTGTATTTTCTTTAAACTGAAAATTAGGTAGATCTAATACTAACAGAATGTGATTCTTTATTTCCTAGGCTATACCGGATCCAAAATCTAGACTTCTCCCAATTCTTTTCTGCTAATTTCCAGCGCTGGGAGAATCTTTCATTACTGAATAAATCTGAACCTTCTTTTCATTTTCCCACCCAGAGACAAGCTTCAGATCTACTCTCAGCCTGCATGTCTGCAATACCCTATTATTAACTGTAGTCATCATGCTGTACATTATTAGATCTCAGAGTTTACTCTTTTTATAACTGAAAGTTTGTACCCTTTGTATCTACATTCCTTTCTCTGATTTTTATAAAAATGTTCTAGCATAGTTTTTTTTTTTTTTTAATATTATATCATCAGACAGACAGTGCAAGCAGTGGAGGGAGAGAGAGAGGGAGACAGAATCTGAAGTAGGCTCCAGGCTCAGAGCTGTCAGCACAGAGCCCGATGTGGGGCTCCAACTCATGAACTGTGAGATCATGACCTGAGCTGAAGTTGGACGCTTAACCGACAGCCACTCAGGCACCTACCTCTATCATGGTTATTTTTCAACATTACTTATCTTCTCGGAATGTAAGCTGCATTAGCCTGGTACAGACTTCATAAGACTTAAGGCTTCATAATACTATAGACTCAATTAACAGTTGTGTGAAATACATCTTTGACTTTATAATGGTGTTAGGGAGAAAGTAAAGTTCCCCTAATAGAAGACTTATTTAATTGTAGGACAGGAGCTTTGTTAACTAGAACCATATAGTGTAATGAAAAGTTCTAGTTCCTCCTCTTATATCTCATCTGACCTTATATCTCACTTGACTTCCCCATTTCTTGTTTTTTTCTTATCTATAAAATGAGCATGTTTGTTGGATGAAATCAGTATACTCAAACTTTTTAATGGTTGAATCTCCCTTTTTAGGTATACCTTACATTGAACACTAAAGTATCAGCCTCGGGGCCCCTGGGTGGCTTAGTCGGTTAAGCGTCTGACTTTCGCTTAGGTCATGATCTCGCGGTTCGTGGGTTTGAGCCCCGCGTCGGGCTCTGTGCTGACTGCCAGCTCAGAGCCTGGAGCCTGTTTCAGTCTGTGACTCCCTCTCTCTCTGGCCCTCCCCTGCTCACGCTGTCTCTCTCTCTCCTAGAAATAAATAAAAAAATATTTAAAAAAATTTAAAGTATCAGCCTCAGCATTTTGTTTTCTACTTTGATTGTACAGTCACTAAAAAATAATTCAAGGTCTCATAAAGTTCTATAGATTTTTTTTGAAGTTTGAATCACTACAAACTGTACTCAAAGCTTAAATATGTCTTCCAATATTGTGACTTATGATATATTTTCACTAAGCATTGTTGAGTTGCTTCTTATCATGAGAGAATGTACTGAGCAGGTATACCTGAGCTTGCTGTGGCATTAAATGCAGCCCAGACATGCATAGAACCATATTTGTGTGTTCACTGGTACAGTGTTACATGAGTGGGCATGTATGTGCCTGTATTAACGAAAGGTACCAGGCAGAGTGGTGGACTGGATTTCCCAGTCAATGACCCATTTCAAGAAGTTACCTAAGTTTCATATGTGCATACAGAAAGTAAGAAAAGCTTCATTCCAGTGTTGCCATGATTAGTTTCATGATGAACATGTTTTGTGATGGTCTGTATGTTTGAGATTTAACATTTGATGTGTGGGGTCTTGTTATTATGATTCTTAAAAATAATATATATTTTACATATAATTTGAGTTACGTTTGTAGAACTCTGAAGCAAGTGTTTTGTTTCCTTGAGGTCTTTGGAACCAGTTTTTAAAATGAGGTGATTAGATCCTGGGAAAAATCTTTTAACACATAATTTCAGTCAGTTTTTCTCTACTCTTAGGATAGGCATACTGTTGTGGGCATTGTATTAAATATTTGTGGTTTCATAGAATTACTGAAAAAATAGTACTATATAAATTAAGTAAATGCAATTTAGAGAAATAAAATGCTACCCAAATTAATTTTAATGCTAACAAAACTTTTAAGAGCAAACAAAGGAAAGGTAGTACATTAAAAATAGCAAAGGTAGGGGTGCCTGGTTGGCTCCGTCAGCAAGGCATACCACTCTCGGTCTTGGGGTTGTAAGTTTGATCTTGGGGTCATGAGTTCAAATCCCACGTTGGGCATAGAGCTTACTTAAAAAAGAGCTAGTGAAGGGAATCAGTGAGGTGGTAACCGCTGTGCCTGGATCACTAATTGCAGTCTGGTTTTAGATCTGGAAGTTTGTTTACTCCCTGCATTTGACTTGCCTTTGCCAGGAATTAAAAGGGTGGTTACAAGCCCACAGGTGGTCTCTTTCTTCTGGAGCAACTTTTGGCTTCATAACGTCCTCTGTAAGTGAAGCTCTTTCATTATTTAAGATCTCAGCCCTTAGAAAGCGTGGCACTGTTAGGCCTGCCCTTCTCCCTGTCTGGCGCAGCTTCACTCCTTTCTCTCTTGGATGTGAAATATTTCAGCTCTTTGTCTACAGTTCGGGCACACTTGTATTATCTTTAAACTTTGGAAGTTCAGGGGCGCCTGCATGGCTTAGTCGGTGAAGCGTCTCACTCTTGATTTCGTCTCAGG